GAGAATTGTGTAATAAATACTGCAATGGCGCAATCAGTGGCTTCGACAGAATAAGATGCCTTAAATTATTCTCTTTCGGATAAATTCGCTTCTGTTTTCATCCAGCAGACCATATACGCAAGACATTTTATGCCAATGTTACACATTTTGAACCTTTGCTTATTTTTTTTCAGTGCATTTTTAGTGCATTTTTCAGTATATATTAACTGGATTTCACTGCAGTTGAATGAATGCTGCAACCCTGCGGCTAAATTTTTCATCGCTTTGTATAAATTTTGCATTTTCCTTGAATTCTTGCACACGCTACACTTATGATTCCCATTTTTGTTTTGATCAGATCCTCCACGTTGACTTAGTCCAGGATACGCAGTTCTTATGTAATTTTGTTAACTTTCTGGGGTGAAGATTATAGTAGTAGTTTATATAAAACGCAAAAGTTCTTCGATGGGACAGAAAAGTTTTGGTTCATCAAATTGCACACATTAGATGTCATGTTAACGTGGATTCCTTTCTCTCCAGCGAGCTATTTTCTGACTCTCTGATAACCTCTTTCCTGTGATGTGTCACTGAAAAATTTGATCAGTTAATCAAAAACCGAAGAATGAAATGACTGATCAGAGAACGGGCAAACAGTAAGCAATCCGAACAAAAAAAGTACAACGATAATCTGCATGCGCAAGGCGGTGGCTAGATTTGACCACTTATCACGCAAACAGCAGCACACAGCAGATATGCTGATTGACAATTGTAATAAATTTGAATTAAGTTGAAGAATTTCGTGACTGGTGCAGTGCATTACTTTATGAGAATCTGCGACGCACATAACGGTGGATGAAAGCCACTTGAAGCAACATTTCCTTTTCAGGATGTAGTCCTAGGTTTGTTAAAAGAAGCAATTTCGCGCGCAACGATCAACGGCAGTAACGGCTTCTTGATTGACGGCTATCCGCGAGAAATCAAACAAGGAGATTGTTTTGAAGCCGAGGTTTTGCATTTTAACAATAATGATTAATTTTTTGAAAAATATTCATAATTCGAGTCAGAGTTCAACTTAGAAAGTCGGCTCACCTTTGAATCTTCTCATCACTGCAAAATCGTTCAA